CCGTATTCATTCCAGCTACCAGGACACAGAACCTAGCAGTAGCAGTAGCTGATGCTTACAACCTTGGTTGCTCTTTGGTCCTAATCTAGGTTGGGGATCCTTCTTGGCGAGTGTTGTCTTCCTGTCTCTGTGCAAGTAGCACCAGAAATGACTGGCCTGAATCATCATTTTAAGTGCATAAAAAAAAAAGTGAGAATAATAATTACATTTAAGTTATTTCTGATAAATAAATACTTTTTTAATGGTTTTATATTAGGGCTGTGCAAATTAACGATTAATTTCTCGATTAATCGTTAATCTTTTTGATCGATTAAAAATGTTTTGATTGCTAATGAAAACACTCTCCGCCGGCTTCCGAGTCCCGTCGGAGATCCGGTGACATCACGGACATCGACGTCACCCCAAGTGGCTCCGTCGGCTAACGAAGGGAAGGGGGGAGGAGTCCGGTGACATCGATGTCCGTGACGTCACCGGACTCCTCCCCTCTTCCCTTCGTTAGTCGACGGAGCCACTTGGGCCGGTGAATTTGCCCAAGAAACTTTCTGCACGAGCGCCAGCCGAGGCATTGGCCTATACACATACAGCACAGCAATGAAGTAATAAAATGAACTAGGATCACACTAATCCAGCACGTTATTATTCTGAGTTGCCCCACTCAAGCGGCGGCCATATTGAGTGGGGCATGTGAGATTAATAACGTGCTGAATTAGTGTGATCCTAGTTCATTTTATTACTTCATTGTTGTGCTTTATGTGTATAGGCCAATGTAGTTGGATCTGTATGTGCGTTATAATTAATCGAAATGAATCGATTAATCGATTTAAAAACATTTTGATTAATCGAACACGAAAATCTTAATCAGTAACAGCCTTATTTTATATTATTGTACAAAACGACACTGCACTGCGATTTTAAACATAAACCCCTTATGTGTGACCTCTCCAGTATAATATATGACAACCGTTATTAGAAATATTGTATACAAACTGAAGAGAAATTCTGACATACAGTATATGACTATGACAGTTCCTCAATGCAAAAAACATAAATAATAATATCCAAAAATCATTGTGATTGTTTCCAATTAAAAATAGCTCAGTGTTATAGAAATAACTTTGTGCTCTTCATCTTTAAACCGTGATAGAAAACTTCTAAAGTGCGCACTCACCGGCAGCTTTATGTGCTGACCAGTAATGGGTTAATTAATCCACTCCTTCATACGTGATTTCACCGTGCTTTTATATTATTCTTATAGTAAAATAAGAGACGTAGCCCTTTGACAAAAATATTCCTAACTACTAGTTTGCCATCATGTGAACTCCTTCTCCTCATGTTGACATGTATCGTTGCCTGTCTAAGGGAACGACACTGTTTTTCCCCATTTGTCTAGAAATAAAAAATTTCCACTAGAAATATGAAAAATACATATTAAAGAGCATTGAGAGCTGGGTCTAAATATCACTGGGTTAGATCATTCCATTTTCTGTATAACAACTGAGAAAAAAGATGCACAGAATTAGGGATGTTCAGATACCAGTGCCAATACTTCGCATTTTCACGAGAACTACCAGGGTTGCAGCGGTTGCAGCTGGGACCGGGCCCTTGCGCTCCACCACGGTCCTGAAATCATTAGTCTGTATTGTTTTAGAAAAACTGTCACATGACAATAAACAAAAATGTATCATTACTTGTATCTGTGAGGACTTGGACAAGTATCAGATCAGTACTTGGTCTGGAAAAATTGTATCGGTGCATCCCTTATATATATTTATTAAAACATATATATACATTAAAACAAGGATGCACAAATCCCAGGAGCTCCTTATGCTGCTTACAAATGACAGCTGCCTCCTAACTTTTGAATTTTTCTCTAGTCTAGTCCTGGAGCTGGAAAGGTATCTGTACATGTATGTCTACCAAGTATGGTACTTGGTATCTGAACATCCCTACACAGAATGCTATTCATATCCAACATGAAATGACCAGTGAAGGTGATCATAGTACATTTGTTTCTTACAGGAAAAGCTGAAATAATAAATGCTCGAGAGACAGCACCATCGAATGCCAGTGAGGGGATGTTTGGGAATAGCACTGTGCTGTCACAAAAAGGTGAGAATGAATTAATCATCCAAGGCACGGTGGTACACAGCCCTGTGCAGACTAACTATACTGTAATACAGAATCCTTATTGCTGAATACAACCCGGTATGACTGAGGAAGAATACTCCCCATTCCATTTTTGATCAGCAACAGATAGTTAATGACCATTTTCCTAGGGGAGATAGAGCTGAATTCTAAAGCACTCAAATGCCAGCATACTTCATGCAAGTGCCACTTTTTCCCTTTGAGTGCCAAATACAATCTTGATGACAAAATGAATGTTCTCTATGAGATGTACCCAGTTTTACCTACTCAAACTTAGTCATTGGTGTAATAACATTTGCCAAGGATTAATAATAAATGGGATATTTAAATCCTTTTCAGTACAAGCATATTATTATGCTTATTTGATTCTAAAATAAGCTTTCAGCTGTCACAGTAAAATAGTTAATGTGTTCTTTGTATCTAAGTCACACATGCTCTGTTCTAGTCCTTGGGCATATAAAATGGAAAATAAAAACCAATGGGCTCACAATACTTGCTAGTGTGATAAAAATGCTAACATCCAACATCCTTTGGCACTTTGTCCTCACTATGGAGAATAATCTGGATCACATTGCAGACAAGATATCATGTGCCAACATACATTTCATGGCATGCATGTGTTTATTTACAATGCAGAACAGGGAAACCAAAACTGGTACTGTCTGCTTATGTGAGATTTCATTCAGAGAGATAAAAGGTAGTGATCACTAAAGCTGGCCATTCACTGATCATTTTTTCTCCTTCAGTCTGTGGATTGAGGAATCCCCCCTGCCAAGCTATTGTATTTTGACAACAGTATGCCGCTGTTAGAATATCTGAACTCTGAAAGCAGCCGATTGGCTATGGTCGTTGTTTGTCTGAGAATTTTTGTACTGGCTCCTGCAACAAAAGTTGAAAAATCTACTTTTTTCTCACAGAGAGGTACCATCCGGGGCCACACACTGCTCAGATTTCAGCTCATCGTTCGAGCAACAAGTCTCATTTCTTGTGTCGGACCCCTTGTATTGCCTACGACCTCCTGTGCTTGTAAGCAGATCCCTGCTTTGAGCTGATTCTACTGTGACTGCGATCTCGCTTTTGGTTATCCCCTCTTTGCTTGAGATATCCCTGGTGTTTATTTGCCCTTTGCTTGTTTCTTGTGTTCCCATTCTTTGTGGTTCCTGTTTGTTCCTGAGTTTCTGCTGGTCTCCTACCTTGTTGTACATTTTTCCTCCTCCTTCTCTGTGCCTGTACTTAGCACCATCCCCTTTGCACAAACGCCTGTGTGGCCTAGTCTCTGTCCTATACACGTTCACTATGTGTGCTGTGATTCTTTGTGCTCACTCTGAGATCCCGCTGTCCTGCTAGTGGATTGTTTAATCTCCTTCAGTGAGTGCTTTGACCTGTGCTTACCTGTGTGTCTGTTCTCTTGTGTGGCTGCTTGTTCCACACAGCCCCACTGTTTGGTGAATCCCGGATAGCCGTGTTGTTGCTGCCTCCTATCACTCTATTGTTTGGCCTTCTTCCCTTGTGACTCTCAGGGGTTGATTTACTAAGCACATAAACACGCCATGAACACGCCATGCAAAAACACGCCGACTGTGCGCGCATGCGCGCAAATCCAGTACCGCTGTCAGTGTATAGGCTTCACCCCTGCCTGCTGTTGTATCCAGTACCTTGGTGCTGCAACCAACCTTCAGAGTCTGTGTGGGTGCGCTAGACGGCTGCAACCTTGAAGGTGTACAGCAGCCAATCATCCTCACCATTAGAGGCTCTGTGGAAGACCTGGCCCTTCTTAGATCCTGCACCTCTAGTGTGTCCCTGAAAACGCACAGACACTTAGTCCCCAAGCTTCCTGTGACCATCATTCCCGGCGTTACCCCAGCCAGGGACCTTAACCCGCTCCGCACCGGAACTCACGTCCCCCATTCCCCCGGAGCTCACGTACCCCAGTGCCCCGGTCCCCTGATCATGACAACTTAGTTACATAGTTGGGTTAGAAGATGACACCCATGCGTTGAGTTCAACCAAAAAGATAGAAATAAATAAATTAAAAACTTGTATCCTCGTTCCTTCCTTTTCCCCCAAGGCAACCGGAAAGGTCGCTGAAATCCACAGGCTCCTCACAGTCCACAATCATAAAGGTGATGTGAACAAGAGAATGAAAGTAAAGCACTCCTCAAGATATTTATTAGGGTTGCACAGATACCAAGTACAGTATTCGGTACGAGTACATGTACCGATACTTTTGAGCTCCAAGACTACACTAGAGAAAAATTCAAAAATTAGGAGGCAGCTGTCATTTGTAAGGAGCACACGGAGCTCCTGGGATTTGTACATCTGTTTTAATGTACGAATTTGTTTTTATAAATATAAATAAGCTCAGTCACCTAACTCCCACAGCGTATGTTGCTTTTTATCCCATGCTTCTGTATACAGTAGAAACTGAGATACAAACATTGACAGCTCACTCCTTTTCTGTGTAGTAATTTTTATTGAGAATGAAGACACAAATACAAAAATGCAGAGATACTTATAAATGGAAATGAGATAAGAACAAAGTAAGTAACAGTCAGTAATCCAGTGAGATAATATGAAGACATATATGAATATGCATGTACATGAAAAAATGATTTAAAAAAGTACATATCCAGGTATCAAAAAAAATTATATAATATAATATGGTAACAGACCATCACAGATAAATATAACAGTGATCCAGGAGATTAGGTGGTAGTTTGCGGTTACTGGATCAACAAATATAAAATAAAAGCACAAAACGGGGAATGACTAGAACAGAAGTAAGGGGAAAGAAAAAGGAGAAAAAAGGCAAGAAAGGGAGAAAAGCAGATGGTGGAAAGAGAGGAGGGAGTGAAGGGAGGAAAAAGAAATAGAAAGGAAATAGAACGCCCTTAAAGGAGGGAGAAGTCTAGGTGGCCAGTAGGTATAATGGGTTGTAACATTTTTTTAAAGGACTAAGTGACTGACGTCAACATTGGGGGGAAGAGAACGTTGAATTCATGGGGCTCAAACTTTCTTGAATTTTGGCATTGTATGAAAAAATTTGTCCGACAGTTTCTCATTAGCAAAGGTGTCATGTAGCCGAGACATAACCTTGGAAAATCGCAAAGAAGGGGAAAGCCGGGCCCTAGCTATAGTCTGCTTTGATCCCATTAGGATGTGAGTGATAAGTTTAAATTGGTGCTTGGAAACATTATCAGGTTGTAGATTGAGAAAAGCTACGCTAGGGCAAAATGGTATGGACTTAGGTATAAGGGAGCGAATCAAAGACCATACACCAAAACACTTGTGCTTTGGGCAGGACCACCAAATATGAAGCATGGATCCTTAAGAGAGGCACCCACAAAAGCAATTTGGAGAGGTGTCTGGAAACATGCTCACCAATCTAATGGGGACATAGTACCATCGAAGTAAAATCTTGTAGTTGATTTCCACCTGTAACGCATGTACCAGGGTACTTAGTCTTTACCTGGTATGAACCACAGCTGCAGATAGCCACTACTTCCTGTCCATCTCTTAGCTTCAAGGAACTATATGCAGTCGGCTAATCAGGAGGATCTCAGAAGTACACAATGTAAACGCATTTGGGTATGTAATGAGATTATGCAAGTCCTGGGTAAGAATAAACAATCTGTATTACTTCATACAGAGTTGTGGAATTATCAAGCAACAGTCCTTTTAGTGTATAGCAAGTGGTATTGCATCATACCCCTCACATGAGAGGGTTAGCACCCAGACTCAGCGAGTAACAGTCTGTATTGCATCATACAGGAGATTAAGTTCTTGGTTTATAGCACACAGTATAACCCTGGGAACAGGGCAACTAGTAACCCCTCGCCAGAGATGTAACAGAATATAGTGGATCAATAGCAACAAGCAACTTAATAGCTGAAGGAATACTTGCGGTTAGCTGCTCTGGAGAGGGTGGACGTGTTCCATAGATGAGAGTGGAGGAATCCGCTGAAGTGGGTCCAGGAGGATGAGGATTGCTGGGTTGTGTTGCAATCTGAGAAGCAGAGTAATGGTGGTTGCCTGTGCTGGCAGGTTGAGTGAGCTGAGGATCAAACTCTGATCATGCAGTCCTGGTGTCTAAGGTGTTACTGTGCACTTGCAGTAAGGGAATGAGAAGGTGTTGTCTGATGAACTGCAGACTGGATGAAACAGATGGAGAGGTAAGCTGTGTGCAGGGAAATGCTCAGCGCTCATTACATTGCCTAAACACTGAGCATGTCAAAAGCTGCGGCTTTATTCAGACAGCTGGGTTGAGGGAGGAGGAGCAGCGTGACGATGCAGGAGTAGGCGGGGTTGAAGGCTGATCCCAGAGCGTGGCCAGGTAAGTCTATATCACCACCATACAAGAGCATTGAGAGAATGATCTAATATTATCCCAAATCTGGGCCCATTGATCAAGTGTCAACATTATACCTAAGTCCTGAGACCATTGTGTACAGCAGAGAGATCACCTCCTCGCATTGGGGGATTCAGCACACATCCACAAAAGAGTAAGAGAAGAGCGACTGGGAAACAAACAGACCAAAGAGGTGACATAGTGACTGTTCGGTAAATAGCAGAAGAGTTCCGAATTAGGGAGATTATTAGAATTGGAAAAGAGCACATGCCAGAGGTATCAACAAGGTTATGAATGCGATCGAGGTCTTTAGAAAGCCAAGCCATAGAAAAGGGACTGGGATTCCAAGCCAGGTGGAAAAGCTGGATTACGAAGAAAAGAGAGGAGAGGTAAATGGGGAAAATAAGGCCCCCCAGAGTATTTTACTGCATCCCAAACTCTCAGCGAGTGAGACGTGATCGGGTTACTAAGATAAAGTCTATCATTATGAGGGAGCCACAATAAATGAGAGATCGAGACGAGATCACAATCCAAAGCTTCTAGGGCAACCCAAAGTGGAGATAAAAGGAGAATGATAAGAGTCAGTAAGATGGATCCCCAGATAGGGTAAGAAACCAGAAACCCATGGGAAAGGAAAGGTAGCCTGTAAATGTTGTGATGTGGAGGAAGGAAGGGAGATATTAAGTGCCTTTTGATTCATCAAAATTTACGTTAGGACCCATAGAAAATAGATTACAAAGGGAAACAAGAGGGTTAGAGAGAAAAAGAAAGATATCATCGGCAAAGAGGTATAGTTTATGATGGTGACCTGCTAAAGGGATCCCGGTAATGCCAGGGTGATTTTGGATCAGGAGGGCTAGAGGCTCAATAGCAAGAGCAAAAAGCAGCGAGGAGAGGGGGCAACCTAGCCTCGTGTCCTGGCCTATGGCCAAAAATCTTAACACGGACCAAAAGTGGGAATGTTTTAAAAGCACGTTACATATTGCAATTGCCAAATGTATACCATTGGGTAATAAAAGTAAAAGATCAAAAACAAAACCTGTATGGTTGAATAAAACTGTAAAGCATCACATAAAGGAAAAGCGAATGGCTTTCATAAAATATAAGATAGAGGGGACGGCATTGGCGTTCCACAACTATAAAGAAAGCAATAAAAGATGCAAACTAGCAATACGGACGGCTAAAATAGAGTGCGAAAGACATATTGCCATAGATAGAGAGGATTTGAAACCCACATATTTTACAAATGCTAGGAGGGAAGAGTACAAGGCAGCCACCCAATTGCGAAAGCTGGAACCAAAGCCCCACTTATCTAAAATAAAAAGTATATAGAACCAGGAAAGAGAATCAAATGCGTTTTGAATATCTAAAGAAAGAAACATAGTAGGGATCTTACGAGTTCTAACTACATGGGTGAGGATAATCACCCTACGTATGTTATCAGGGGCTTAACGAGCTTGCATAAATCCCACTTGATCTCTATGGATCAACTGGCCTACCCAGTGTTTAGTCTATTTACGAGGATTTTAGCAAGCAATTTAACATCAATATTTAGTAGAGAAATAGGGCGATATCCAGACCAGGTTGTATTATCCGAGTCTGGTTTCGGAAGCAGCTCACTCTTTTTCATTCACAACCACTCTGTGCAAAGGAGATGACCTCTTGATTGATAGCTTTTCTTTGCTTGTCAGGATGGGGTCTGGTACCTGGTAAGATATTTCACGGGATGGTGATAGGACTTTTATTGGCCTCAAGCACAGGAGATTTATGAAATGCTGCTTGATTTAGCCTTCCCTTGATCTCTGTATAGCAATGATAGTCCATGGCATCAGTACATCTTGGCTTCCATAGAGGACAACAATTCCCTAATAACATTAATTAAATTGGGAACGCTCTTTGTCATACTATCCAGAACGTTTGCTTTATTTTAATTTTATTAAGTGACAGTATCCTTTTTTACTCTTTTCCCATTACGCCATACTTCAATCTATCTTATTTCTTACTTGTAACACTATCATATTCTACAGGTGGATTGTCCATAGCAGTACCAGGAGAGATCCGAGGATACAAGGTAGCACATGAGCGACATGGCAAGTTGCCATGGAAACGCTTGTTTGAGCCAAGCATTAAATTGGCAAAAGAAGGATTTCCAGTTGGCCTAGGCTTGTCTCAGGGCCTATCTTCTGCCAAAGATGATATTGAGTCGGACAAGTCACTATGGTAAGAAGCCGCATATGGTGAATTGCTTACAGTCCCCATTGCAAACCTCATTGTCTGCACTGCTACCTGTTTCATTATTGTTGTACTTATGATGCTGTTTTTATTTTGCATAGCTCATTACTCATGCTACTTGCCACTTATCTTTGTCTGTCATGACAAAATCTCCTGTACTCCTTTCTCCACAATAATGCCTCCCTTTAATAACCAATTAAAGTACCCTTTCATTTAGACATAACGGGGCACAGCTTAATGTGCTCAATACCTTTATTTCAGTGCTGGTATTCATTGTTTCAACCTACCCAATTCATTTGTTTATAGGTTGCTTGTTACCTTGAGATTCAGTGTTCCCAACCTTGCTATTATGCCAGCCAGGAACTCCCTAAGTCCCATATCTGCCAGTCTGAAAATACAGATATATCTCCGATCTTAAAGTGACATTAAAGTCAAAAATGTTTTTCTCTCCCCCCAATGTTAGTGTAAGCACTTACCTTAAATGATGTTTCTTAATCCGATCTTCTTTCCTGTCCTTTTCATCTGTCCCTCCAGCGCTGCGGCGGGTCTCCGATCCATCGCTGACTCCACTGGGCTTGCTGGCACTTCCTGTCCCACGGTGTGTGCATGCGGGTGCACGCGTCCATAGACTTACCTTGTGTCTCTCTCTCTCCTTGTTATAGGTGTGAGCTCTGTGGATGGCTTGGACCAATGGCAAATTGGCAAATTAGTCCAAGCTGTCCAATCAAAAAAAGAAAAAAAAACAAAAACACTGAGGCCATTGATCTCGATGCCTCAGCAGTGACCAGCAAGTGAGGGACAGGGAGGCCCCTCCCTGTCTCCTCCTTCATATAAGCTTGGGGACCGGGTCAGGGGACAGGGCTTCGGTGGGCGGGGCTTCAGCCGGGGGGCGGGACATGCTGGGGGCGAGGCTGAGGAATGCCTCACCCGAAACCAGAGGTACCGCACGTCACTGCTGCATGCAGGAAGCAGTGCTGTGCAGATGGGGTGATTGCACTCTACAGGATTATTGTCAAGATATCACTTCACGATAGATGTCATATCAGACTGTTAATAGTATTAGGGACATTTGATGCAGTGGTTTAAAGGGTATCGCAAGCCAAAATGTTTGTGCTTGTCCCACACTTTGTTTTGGTGACCATTGACACCAGGACAGAAAGTAATAGGAATCCACAGATGTACAGTTGTTACTAAAACAGGAGGCGAGGGCAATTCCTCCAATGGAGACAACTGTTCTGGTGACAACTGTCTAAGAGGGAATTTCCTTTTACTTGTTTGGGGGAAAAAGTTTGTCCTAATATCCTTTATCTTTTTTTTTTCCAAGGACAGCAGATATTCAGGCTAAACTTAGTTACACCTGTGTTCTGTTTTTTGTTGTTGCTCCATTTGCTTTTTTAAAAGCGTTGTGTACTCAGTAATTGAATCATTAAGCCTAGTTATACATGTGTAACTTGATTTTAGTTCATTTAGAAGGTTTATATTGAATACGGAGCTGTGTCTAACATCTTATTACATTTGAATATCTGGATGATAAAATAATTAAAAGTAATTAAATCCCTACAGGTAAAAACATTCACCAGAATAACAGAGCTAACCTATGAATGGCCATAGGTGGACTGTAGGATACATAGATAGTGTAACAAGGACACTCCACTGAAGACCGGAGGTGCAAGTACAATGCAGTTTATTTGCTTTCAAAACGATAGATAACACGAAATCCAACATAAATAGCTTGCTGTAGCATAACAGATAGGGGCTCACCAATCCTCGAGTTGTCACGTACACTCAAGGTGTCCCAGTCTTTTAACAAGTCTCTCTCGCAGCACTGCTGCTCCGGCCTCAATCTTTAGGGCCACTGTCTGGTTCCTCCAGACAACAGCAATAACATGCCAATCCTCTCAATATGGTTCACAGACCCGCAGCTCCCTGCTGCCCTGGCCTCCACACTGACTCCGGGGTGGAGCTCTCCTGACTCACAGGTGGGGCCCTGAACACATCCCAGCACACACTTCATGAGGGATGTAAACAGGTGCACAATCAGGTGCTGGTCACCACCAAAGCATGGACCCAGGAATGGAGATTTCTTACCACCCAGAGCTCTAAGAAATCTCCTGGCTCCA